CTTGGTATCACTGTGTACATTTCTATGTAAACCTGTATAAACCAGACCCTCATACTTGGTATCACTGTGTACATTTCTATGTAAACCTGTATAAACCAGACCCTCATACTTGGTATCACTGTGTACATTTCTATGTAAATCAGACCTGTATAATCTGGAACGTGTATTCTGAATTGAAAAATTAATCCAAGTACATTTTGGTTCAGACAGATTAAAAACATGTTTCTTATAATGTTATTGTGTTCAAATGTCTCACGTCACTTTTAATGAAAATTTGTCATAACCTTCATAAAGTTAGTCACATTGATTGTCATCTATGATTTTGATTTTTATGAAATTTATTAAAAATGCGAAATTGTCTTGAATTACTATCTACTAGTACATAATATTATTTAGAAAATGTCACTCCCTTTTCAGCCGATGCACCTCCTGAATATAATTGTATCCGAGGTAAGTACAGAACATGTGACCAGAGACATGTAAGGGATCTCGGTTATAACAACAGTGTTAGTATTTCTCCAGCTAATACACTGTGAGAACATGTGACCAGAGACATGTAAGGGATCTCGGTTATAACAACTGTGTTAGTATTTCTCCAGGTAACACACTGTGAGAACATGTGACCAGAGACATGTAAGGGATATCGGTTATAACAACAGTGTTTGTATTTCTCCAGGTAATACACTGTGAGAACATGTGACCAGAGACATGTAAGGGATCTCTTTTATAACAACTGTGTTAGTATTTCTCCAGGTTATACACTGTGAGAAAATGTGACCAGAGACATTTTTTTGTACATTTAATGGCAGTTTTCATTGAGTTCGAACAGAAAAATAATACTGGGTGGGTGGGGAAGTGCATGTTTTAAAATCTGATATTTTGTATGTCCTCACCATATTTTATGTTGGGCAGGGATGGCATTATGGCATTGTCCATGTCCGTCCTGTTCCTATTCACTGTAATCGCTCTAGCAACTTCATTTCTTAACTGCTTTTGATAAAATGTAATACCAAGATCAAGTATGAGAATACAGTCAAACCTGCCTTAACGACCCTCTGTATTCAGCGACTTTCTGTCATATGCGACCTTAACATTTCCTCCCATTGAAATTCACTATATGAACATTATGCATTAAGCGACCACTTGTCTTATATGCCAATTTTTGCCTTGTTACCTTGAATGAGTTCATCTTTCAAGGTGCCAAAGTCATTGTTCATGTTACATAATAAATCTGTGAACCAATTCAGTGATATCACACCATCAACTTCATTTGTTAACAGATTTGATAAAACTTGATACAAAGGTCAAGTATGAAAATACTTCAAATGAGTTCATATATCAGAAACCAAAGGTCAAGGTCACCTTTACTATTTATAGCAACTTGTCAAACATTAACACTAATTAGTAATTTGCATGGATCGGATTCATATCTTACTGATATTTTCCAGTTGCCCTATTCAAATGTACTCTAAAAAAATGTTGTAGCAAAACATGAAGATGATTTGGTTTTCAACTATAATGTTAAAGTATAGAACCTGCTTAGGAGTAAGTATCTGCTGAGAGAAAAATAATACTGTTAGTACTGTGCATTCAAGGAAAACTAAACCATTTTCAGAATCGCGCAAGGACTTAGAAATAACACCCAATGTAAACAGCCAATCAAAATCATTGATTTGATCATGTGATGATGTAAACAGCCAATCAAAATCTTTGATCTGATCATGTGATGTACAACAGAGGTTTTATTTACCACTTGGTTTGTTGATTTTTATAGGAAGCAAAATTATTTAGGTAACTTTAAATAAAAATGATTGGGTTACCATGCATTTGTCAATCCTGGATTGTCATTCATAATCAATTATTGATTTATTTATTTTTCTTTCAGGAGCCACCAGAATTGCCTACTACCAATTTTTCTCCAGACTTTGTTCATTTTGTGGCGAACTGGTAAGTAGTTTAGGCACAAGAATACTCAATAACAAAAATGTTAACATTATTCAAACACCTTGTATTTTGAAGAAAAGTTTGGAATACAATAATTTTTTCATCATTTCACCTTGAGTGTTAAGGTAATTCAATGCGAGACAGTTTTACAATGATGTATTTTATGCAGTGCATGTCCTGTTAAAATTATACAAGGCAAAATTCAACACGTGACATCTTAATTTTAAAAAGCTAGTGTTCTTGTGATCATTAAATTTTATACTAAATTATGCCAGTAGTAAATTATTTTTTTGTGTGTGACCTTTTGGTATGAAGGTACGTCATCAGAAAGTGCTACACAAGTATTGCACACCAAAATGGAAACATTGCGACCTTTATTTAACCTTTGACCTTGACCTGAAGGAAATTCAGGTTTCTGGCCCATGACTCAGACTCTCCCAAATTTTATAAAGAGTGAGATTATACTTTGTATGTGTGCAAATCATGGTCAAGCAGTTTTAATTCTGCAGATATTAAAATAATTTTGATTTTGAAGTTGATATTAATTTGTTTCATTCCTCCACCAGTATGCGGAAGTCCCCAGCACACAGATTGACGTCAGAATTATTGAAGGTTGGTTGTTCCTTACATTCCTAGACCAAGTCAGTCTCTAGAAAAAATATAAAATATTCACGTTTGATAAAATTATTTTGTTTTTTGGTTGTTTTAGAGACTTACATTGGTTCTCTTAGACGACAAAAGGTGTTAAACACATCAGTAGAAATGCGATGTTTTTAAAAAATTGTCTGCACATATTATCAAAATTTTCAAAATTAAAGGAAACGTTATCATCGTACCTGCTTCACTAGCCTCGTTGTAGCTTGCTGTTTGCTACAAAATGATGATTTCATCTGTCACTGTCTCATAGACTGTATTTGAGTAGGACATCATATTTCCAATGATACCTGACATTTATTTTGTATGTGAGAAAAAAATAATCTTCCTTTTAACCTTTCCAATCACTTGATTGTTGTATGTAAAAATAAATAAATAAATATACAACATTTGATATAGCGCACTATCTAGCTAACATAAGCCACTCTAAAGCGCTTTACAGTACATAGATATACAATTTTATACAGTCAATACAATTAGCATATATATTAATCAATACAATATTGAGGAATTCGCAGGAGCTGCCTTATCAGGCGTTAACTACTAGTCCTATGCCAACTGGCTAATATCTCCCTATGAGTATATGCCGGACCGTGCTTGAATGCTACAGCAGATACGGCAACACCCACCCCAGACGATTATATACTCCACCTGGATTGTTGGAGTTGAAACAAAATAGCTGTATCTCTCCAGATTTTCTCTGAATGCAGATTTTGTAAATGTTTTTTTCTTCATTTAATGATAAAGTTTTTATCTGTGTTTGCAGACACACCCCTTTATACAACGTCACGATGATGGGAACGTGAGTGTAATTGCTGGCTTTATACAAAGCAGACTGCCACATATACAGCAGGGCAAAGTTAGCTGATGGTCACATTGTTCGAGCTTGTGTGTGATCACTACGTTTATACAGAGTAGATGCCAAAAATACAACACGAAATGTTAACAGACTGCATGGGAGCTTTTATGTGATCACCACATTTACACAGAGCAGACCCCACAAATTCAGCAAGGCAAAGTTAGCTGGATTGTCACAGTGTGGGAGCTTGTATGTTATCACTACACACCAGGTATGAGCAGAGAAGACCCATCAATACAGCAGAGCAAAGTTGGCTGACATTCACACTCTAGGAACAACTTGTGTGTGTGTTCCTTACTGCCACCACTCAGAACAGGACAAGGTGTTTGTATATCTTGTCATTGTCATTCATGGAGTGAACTGTGACACCTGCTTAAAAACGATGATCCCTACTTTATTAGCTTATGCCATACTGTGGCATCCGTCGCCCGTCTGTAAACAATTTCTTAAAACGACTTCTTCTTCTTAACCACTGATTGGAATTTAACTAAATTTGACTGGAAGCATCCCTAGGTGGTGGGGAATCAAAATTGTACAAATGGTGGGGTTGACCCCCCAGGGGGAGGGGCGGGGCCAAAAAGGGGTTATTTGGCTATATTTCTTCGAACGACTTCTTCTGTAGAACTATGCACTTGATATCAATCATATTTAATCAAAAGCATTCATGGGATGCAGGGATTCAAAATTGTACAAATGGTGTGGCTGACCCCCCAGGGGGCTGAGGGGCGGGGCCAAAAAGGGTTATTTGGCTATATTGCTTCAAGTGACTTCTTCTGGAACTAAGTGATGGATATCAACCATATTAGACTGGAAGCATCCCTAGGTGGTGGGGATTCAAAATTGTACAAATGGTTGGGCTGACCCCCCAGGGGGCTGAGGGGCGGGGCCAAAAAGGGGGCAATTTGGCTAGATTGCTATAAACGACTTCTTCTGTAGAACTATGCACTGGATATCAATCATATTTAATCAAAAGCATTCATGGGAGGCAGGGATTCAAAATTGTACAAATGGTGGGGCTGACCCCCCGGGCTAAGGGGTGGGACCAAAAAAAGTTTATTGCCTGGAAATGGTTGAGATCCCCACCATATAACCACATATACAATTGCTGAGTATAAAGAGAAGAATGCACATTTGCTTCCAGGATGGCCCTAGGGTCTGGCCCCACCCTTGGAAACATAGTCCTTGGGCCATAACTTTAAAACGGCTGAGATCCCCACTCAAAAACTATATATACAAATGCTGGGCATAAAGAGACGAATGCAGTCACAATATTAGAATAGACCCTGGGGTCTGACCGAACCCCTAGGGACCTAGTTTCTTAGTCACAGCTTGGAAACAGTTGAGATCCCCACCCTATAACCATATAGACAATTGCCGATTACAAAGAGATGAATGCACATATGCTTCCAGGATGGCCTTTGGGACTGCCCCACCCTTGGAGACTTATCCCCGGGGTCATAACTTTGAAATGGTTAAGATCCCCACCCCAAAACTATATATACAATTGTTGGGCATAAAGAGACAAATGCAGTCATGATATTAGAATTGATCCTGGGGTCTGGCCACAACCGTAGGGACCTAGTTTCTGAGTCACAGCTTGCAAACAGTTGAGATCCCCACCCCATAACCATACATAAAATTGCTGGGCATGAAAAATCGAATACAGATATATATGCTACAAGGACTGGCCTTGGGGTCTGGCATATTCCCTTGGATGTCATTTGTAGAATATTCTGCCATGATTGCTTAGATATCCAGGTGAGCGATACAGGCACTATGGGCCTCTTGTTAGATCAGTAGCTGAATCTGCTGTTTATCAAATAATCTGTTGTTGAAAACCTATTTCTACTTTTAAAAGTATGTCTCACAGACATCCTCCATATCCAGGGGTTACACTCACTTTCGCTCTCTGCAACCCTGGAATATGTCATAGCAAAGTTGAAGGCACAAAGATAGCTGTTTGATTGGTCTCCGGTAAAAAAATACCTGACCAATCGCTAGGTTGATACCTGTTTTTTGAAGATAACAAAGGAGAGACGCCTGACTTCAAAGTCAGTCAATTTTTACCGTTATGCAACCGGGGGATTCTTCTGATGTACATCAAAGGATCAACAACTAGTCTTCTTGTCTCATCAACAAGGTGGTGCACATTGATCCTTCAATTTTGCTTTGACTATCAAGGATGTCTTGCAGACAAACAGACAGTATCTAAATACTCAGAGAGAACATGTTGTTTATACGGTTACAACATGGGAATTCCGGTAAAAGTGTGACCTAGAGCCAGACAAAGGACATTCTGTCCAGGCATTCCTTACCTACTTCTATAATGTTTTGCTAATTTTAGACAAGTACTGTTGAGGTGTGTATACCTGGATAACATACATGTACGTAGAGATATCATTAAACAAGTACTGTTGTGCTTACCTACCTATCATAATAGGGTATTTAGAATATGTGGTAGTGGAATATTTAATTTAAAAGTACTTAGCAGAACAAATTCACATTTCAGAATATCTTTTTGATATTTATATAGAGCATAAAAAAACTTTCTCTAAGTTAACATCACTAAGTAGGCTTTTTGTGTATGATTGAGTGTGTATATCACTAAGTAGGCTTTTGGTGTATGATTGAGAGTGTATATCACTATTGAAAGTGTGAGGTGGAGAAATCTCAGCACAGGGTTTAGATTGTTTTGTGCATATTGAGACTTAGTGATCAGTTCCTTTTCTCACATCTATACAGCACTGTAATAGTAAAGAACATGAGCTAGGTTTTATTCTGAGGAAGTAATCACTGGCCGCTACATGTTAATATGTGAGGTCATGCCAACCATATATCTCGTCTAAAGGTGACACACAGGAGTCTCACACAGGTGAGAGAATCTTAGAGATAGAGATGGTAGGACTGATCAAATGTTAAATGTTACCTGAACTTGTATAGATGACTTCTGTCACACTGGTATAAAGGTCAGAACACTGACGGGAATTAAGTCTGTACAGTAAATCTATATAGTTATACAGCCAAACAAAAACATTGTACTTTGTTTCCGGTAACAGCTGTGAAAATATTCAAGTTGGGTACAGCTGTAGGTAATGAGGCATATATTCTGTATGTTATTTACCTTTATACATTAGTTATATGAAGTTAACGATGCATGATCATGGTTCGCTTAAAAAATAGGTATCAACATTTCCTGGGGCAGGTTACCTAAGATGTTTTTTTATGTCTCTGTTTATGGTAAATGTTGAAGAGACAGTATGTAATGTGCCAAATAGACTAGTGTAGTGTGTACAGTTCTTATCATTGTGATTTTGTTTTAATTGATGTAAAAACTTGAGTTGATTGCTGAAACAGAGAATATGAAAAAGCCAGAAGGAGTTTTTACTAATCTGTGACATTTATTGATTTAGAATTTTACATTATAATATTTTCTGCATCATAGACCCTGATTTTTGTTTTGTTTCATGTCTGTCAAAAATGAAGTACTTCATGATAGAGTTTTACAGAGTACTAGTATCGACAGTAAACCTAGAGAATGTATGCTGCCATCATTTACGACAATCTGTTTATGTGCTGACACTGTAATTTTTACCCCCGTCAAGGGTGCAATATCTGCTTTCTCCATGGGAGAACTGATTCCATTTTCTTGGACTATTTGATTTCAAGAGTAACAAGGGAGGTAATTCTGTTTGTTTGTTCTTGCCTGCTTTACATAAAACCTATGTTACCATTAAAGAGCTAAGCTCGGGTGGCTGTGGAGACAGTAACACTGTTGTTATGAACTCGGAATAGTGAAGCTGAATACTTGATAATGGTCAGAGAACAAAATATTTTCTAAAATATTATACATTCTTGATAATTATGTGATGAAAAGGAATATAAATTTCCTTTTATTTTATATACCTTACTATGTATTTACATTTGCGCTGCAACCCACTATATGAACATTACCAGCAGAAATGCATTTCATTTGAGTATGAAAGCAAAAACTCTTGTGACCTAACCTGTGGTTTACATATGACGTCATAGATTTACCTTGTTCAATGAGTCTTGTTGCTTTGCTTCGGATAGCATGGAGAATGCCCCTGCGTCAAACGACTACGGTTGATTATTGGCGCCAATTTTAGTGGCTGTTCCGCCAATGAAGTTTAAAGGATAACGCATATACAAAACGCAGTCAATAAATAAATGATTTAAGAAGAGAAATAAAATTAAACGATTGTTCTATAGTACAAATGTAAATATATCGATTGTACAGCAGTTTTTTAAATGTTCATACCAGCATGAAAATTCAAAAAATGCTGTTCAATCCCTATATTAGATTTATTTAACACGATCCAAATCTTTTTCTTTGCCCTTTGCAGATCTCAGCCTTAATAAAACAATTTTAGACTTGTTTCATAAATGGAAAGTAAATCATAAAAATCATGTTATTGTTCATTTTGTAAATTCATTGTACAATATGATGTCTTACAGTGTCATCTGGATATTAATGTCATCCTTAATAGTCTGGAGAAAGCAAGGACACTTTCTTTGTTTTTCAATTTCAAAACTTTTGACGGGTTTGAACTTGACAGGACTTGAAAGTCTTTGCCAAAGCTTGCCAGAAAATAACATCTCAATAGAGATCCAGCTGCAGCTTACAACCATCAGAATGGAATTTTGAAGTGTATGGAAATTCAAAAAAGATAGCCTGATACATGTTTAAATCATATATATACCTCATCATCTTAATTATACTATTTATTGAACAGTGCCAATATGTTATGCTGTAAAAATGAAATATGATTATATCAAATATGAATATGTTTACACCTTAAAAGGTACATATTGTTACTTTCACGAGTGTGATATCATCTGAACATCTTCAGAACATACACTCTGTAGATTACTTGATTCACACAATACGATATGCATTAATTTTCGAGTTAATTCATAGACTCATGAAACATTGTTTGTACGTTGTTTGTGTATTAGTAAAACTTTGATAAGGAGTATATAACTTAGTTACATGTACGTGCAGAAATGTCAATCTGCAAAATTAACAATAATATGAATAACCATTTAATTATTGTCAAGGTTGCCTTGTTTTCCCATTGGTGTTATTGTATAATTCTGAGCTAAACACCAACTTTTACTTGCTAATCAGAACTAGAGAAATTTGTATCCACTTAGTGCTGCTATATTTCATTACCTGGAAGCCCTGGAACAGGGTCAAACACCATTCTTGAGAACTGATTAATGCAGTAACCTTTGACCTTTTATACTAGCCTGTGATTGGATATTGTTTGGATTTTAAAATGTTTTATAACAATTAAGGTCGTGTGTTTACAGTACTATCCAGTAGGGTATATTTCCCTCTTTAAATTGAGAAGTCAAATTTATATATCAAAAGTATAAAAATTATGGTTCTTATCAATTTCAAGAAGACAAATGTTGAAACCATGAGTTTGGGCATCTTCGCTAGCCAAGGGTTACGATCCGGTACGATCCGGTCTTTCTACTCTTAGTTAGACTGTACTGGATCGTAGCCCTTGGCTAGCGAAAATGGAGTTTGGGTAGAACGTGAAGCTACATGTGTGAGAGACTTATTAGAGACTGTAATCACTACTACTCTTTAGTAAGTTTAATCTCAACTGCAAGAAGCTGTCCAGCATTTTGATATTGATTAGTGTAACTACTGTTTCTTAACATAAATGATGTACTTGATTTTAACTTTGTTAATATGCTAGCAGCCGACAAATGAGTGCCACAAAGTAAAGGAACATCACTTTTATAGGAAATGACAACGCAGGGCATTTAGGGGCTTATTTATTACCATGCAAAACCTGTAGTTACTGAATTCTTGAAATACAATAGGCTGGTTGTCCTATGTCTGTGTTGCTGGTCAACTAGAGTTTATTTTTAGCCTTTAGACATTCCTGTAGATTTCATGATGACCCTTTACATATGTATGAACACTTCAAGAAAATGAATACAAAAAAATTCAACTTAAGCCTGTGTTTTTGTTGTCTTTTTGGTCTGTGACAAACATTGTAGGTGCTTCTGTCATGATTAATGGTTCGGGTTTTATCCCACTTCTTCATAATGTATTTTAGCTTTACGTAGGAAGGCCCTGGGGTCTGGCCCCACCCTTGAAGACTTAGTGATCAGCCATAACTTTGCAAAAATCAGGATCCCCAACTCAAAACTATAAACAAAAGTGCTTGGAATAAAGAGATGACACAATCACTGTGTAAGACTTGACCCAGGGGTCTGGTCTCTGACTAGAGACTAAGTTTCTGGGTTTCAACTTGGAAACAGTTGAGACAGTACCTGGGTCATAACTTTAAAGCAATAGAGATCCCCACCCCAACCATATATAGAATTGCTGGGCATAAAGAGATGAACACGATCCTGTACTGGAATTTACCCTGGGGTCTTGCCACAGCCCTTCAATTGGGTCAAAAATTGGAAACAGTTAAAATCCCCACCCTAAACCATTTACACAATTACTCAGCATTTTAACTTCAAATACAGATATGCCACCATCATTGGCCTTGGGTTCTGTATATGGCTATAGGGAGTGGATCTCAAAAATGTCCATGTTATGACAAAGTAACCATGTCCAAAAGTGTGTGGCAGACCAAGGTTCTCTTCATGTCTAGCTATATGGTTCAGATCTGAATATTTCCAAATTACGAAAGATCCCAGAGGGATCTTGGTGCCCACCATTGTACCGTCTTCATTAGTTCTTTGTCAGTTCAATTTTTTCTCTAATCTGTTTGATCCAGTCATGTTAACAGTAAATGCACCTTGAGGTAATTTTTGATCTTAACTTAATACTGCTGTGTATAACAGACAACCTTCAAAGTGAGTTTGCCATTTCACATATTTACTAGTACAGTACTTAATGTGAAAGAAATAGAATTGATCATTGCACTGTTTAGTTCTTCCTTTAGTCATTTTGTTTTTATGATCAGTCTCAAAATATAACATGCACAACGAGGGATTAAGGGGAACCTACATATCAGATTTTAGTAAGATCCCTCCAATTATTCCTGAGAAATAGTACTAACAAACCTTTAATGTCACAATCGAAGATGGTGACCTGTCGGACATTTTCTATATCCGATCAGTCTCAAAATTAAATACACACAACTACAACCAAGAGAAACCTACATATATAATTTGAGATGGATCTCCAGTTCTTCCTGAGAAATAGCGATAACAAAACTTCAATGTCAAAATCCAAGATGGCTGCCTGTTGGCCATCTTCTTTATCCAATCAGTCTCAAAAATTGCCCTGCTCAACTAGGGACCAAGTGGAATCTACATATAAAATTTAAGAAAGATAACTCTAGTACTTCTTGAGAAATAGCAATAACAAGAACTGTTTAAGGACGGACGACAGTCGCAGGGTAATCTAAATAGCCCCCCATCAGATGATGGTGGGCTAAAAAAGACAGAAAGAAAAGGAGACATTGAAATGCATTGGTGGTAATCAAAATGATAACTAAAATGTTACAGTAAACTGACCAATGAGTGGCATTGTAATGCGGTTTAACATAAGAGGTTTCATAAATGCACAGCGGCACCATGGCGACACAAAACAATTGTTTGAGTCCGGGATCCCTGAAGTGCCAGCTTTACCGACACATAAAATCACTTAGAACTGCAGACAAATCCAATTGTAAAATATATTTATTAATTTCCCCTAATATAAAGCATTACTGAACATGAAATGATGAGATTATGAATCTACTTCTTCTTCTTGGAGGGCGTGGCCTTGACTGGTGTTGGTGCCGGAGCAAATCGTGACTGGGCTATCTTGTTAAGGTAGTATAGTGCCACGATGGAGAAGATGAAACTGTGGAGACAGAACACTCAATCAAAAACCTTATTAAACAAGTATTGTCTAAAGTTGTTTTTCTCCCCTACTTTTGACTATGACTGCATACAATATATTGGGAAATAATGTATATTTACTCTCACACGGCGTGAGAATAGAATCCACACAACAGCAGACATTAGTTCACAACTTTTTCTTTCCACAGTGAATGGTGAAATAACACTGAAGAAATATGAATGTTATATGTGAATGGCAAATGTTTCTGGTAAAGAATACATACTTTACATGAGGCATTTGCTAAACATGATCATGTACTAATAGTTAGTGTACAGCTCACAAACTTTAAAAATATGAAGTTGGACCACATTAAAATTGTTAAATTAGAGATTCAGGATCTCGTATTTACACATTATACTTGTTATTTTTGTTGAGTTATCTCCTTTTCGATTACACTGCCTCAAACATACAAGTGGTTTGCTTCACAACAATTTGAACATTATATCAATATATGCATTATTGTGTCACTTAGAAAATCTCCCAAATTAATTTACCCCCAACTCCAAATCCCGATATTTTTCTAGATTTACGAGTGTGTAATTCTTTTGGAATTGTGGTACTGTAGCATTTACCCTTAGGTGGCATTTACCCTTAGGTAACATTTACCCTTAAGTAGCATTTACCCTTAGGTAGCATTTACCCTAAGGTAAGTTTTACCCTTAGGTGGCATTTACCCTAAGGTAAGTTTTACCCTTAGGTAACATTTACCCTTAAGTAGCATTTACCCTTAGGTAGCATTTACCCTTAGGTAGCATTTCAAATTTTAATCACACAAATAATGCTGCTATTTTTTTTTGGGAAAGTGTATTCAGTGCAGCATTGAACAACAACTTTGACTGTAAGAATCCAAGGAGGGAGCCAGCCGGGTTGGCCCGGAGGTCTCGGGTGTTTTAACACTGGTGGGCTAGGACAAAGTTACCCTAGTTACAAAGGGGTGAAAGGGTTAATAACAGTTAAGATATCATTTGGCACAGTCTTTCAGTGAAAGGATGGACTTTCTGTGTCTAATTAGTATTACATATTTTATTTGATAAATGTCAAGTATGTACAGGTATTAAATGGATGAGCTGGAGAGCTTTCTATGACAATTTGTCACTGTTCTTTACCAAAAGGATAGATCAAGCTGTCACTGTTCTTTACCAAAAGGATAGATCAAGCTGTCACTGTTTTTTACCAAAAGGATAGATCAAGTTGTCACTGTTCTTTACCAAAAGGATAGATCAAGCTTTCTCCCACACCTGACAGATTTATCTCCCGTTTTGCCAGTGCTAGATTTATCTGTCTCCGCCCTAGGGTTGAGACGGGGGGATTCCCCTATTCATAACAATGGCATGACGTCACTTCAACAATACAATGACGTCACGTTAACAATCCATCAACAAATTGCCTGTATGTGTTTTGGGTCCATGTTTACCTTTATTTCACATTAAAATATTGTAAGATATGGGAGAAAAATAATCAATCGCTACTGGTTGTGTAAGATGGAGAAATCTCAACCCGAGGACTAAAAAAACTTAGTCCTCGGGTTGAGATTTCTCCATCTTACACAACCAGTAGCGATAGATTCTATTAGTTATCATCCAGATATCAGTTTAGTCTAGTGGTATCTATTATCAATGCAATTCTTTTATTATTTGTACAATTATTAATAAAATTGTTAATCGACAGACTGTTATCATTAATCCAGCGGTTATATACCCGATTTATCATTAATCCAGCGGTTATATACCCGGTTTATCATTAATCCAGCGGTTATATACCCGGTTTATCATTAATTCAGCGGTTATATACCCGGTTTATCATTAATCCAGCGGTTATATACCCGATTTATCATTAATCCAGCGGTTATATACCCGGTTTATCATTAATCCAGGGGTTATATACCCGGTTTATCATTAATCCAGCGGTTATATACCCGATTTATCATTAATCCAGCGGTTACATACCCGGTTCATCATTAATCCAGCGGTTATATACCCGGTTTATCATTAATCCGGCNTGTACTTACCATGTTGTCACACAAACTCTGTGGATAAGAGCCGACACAAACATGGCCGCAACTAAACAGAATCCAACTACAAGCAGACAGAGAATCACACACGTAAGTCAGTATACAGTCAATACAACAGTAATTCATTGTTCTTGTATTTCATTCAAAATCAACTAATAACAACTTACACTGTAATGTATACATAGGTCTGTTTTACCATTACAGTGACTTACATTGGCTCATTAAAATTTAAAACTCATTATGTATCGTCATTCAACATTCAACTCATTATATTTAACTCAATAAAAACTCGCTATTTATAACAAATGTAAAACATAAATGGCCACTTATTAAAGAAAATTAAACAAAAAAATTATTTTCAACTCACCTTCTGGAAATAACTTTGCTTGAAACCCGCGTCCAAATAATGACATTTCCAGATTACTAACACCCTGTATTTCAGTTAAGGAATCATAAACTATGTTTGGCAAAGCACAGCTATACAATGTTCATGCCAAATTTACTTATAACATATGATACATGACAATCATCAGTATTAGAAGTTTTTTTAAAGTTGGTCCCTAACATGAAATTATATGATAGTGCTATTCTCTTTCTTCATATTCTGTAGTGTTATGTTATGCAGGGCATGTTATTCTACTAGCTTGAGCCTGGGGCTTGTAGATTTTAGGTCAGGGCCAATACAAATTTTAATATTAATTTACTTTGAAAAAATATATATATATATGTTGGGCTAATCAGCCTGCAGGCTAAGGCTAGTAATGAAATGTTTCGCCCTGGTCACAGCTGATATAAGTTTGACAGGAGTGACCTGGACGAAAACCTGATTGTGCCTGGTTTTGGAAATCATTATTTAATATTTAGATATGTGTACAGTTGTTTTGCAACATGTCGTTCAAATATTTTTGACAATGTTGCTAAAATTGACATCATTTACATGTGGCACATATATAGTCAAGGATTTCCATCAACTGATATAAAACTCCAGGGGCAAAACACTCTGACATAAACGACAACGTGATTCTGTACAGGGCGTCGCCATCACTGTTTTCCTTCGTCAACAGCACTATATGCAAGACGCAATTTCATTGGATGCGGGCGATTGGCACTGCAAGAAAATTTGAACGCTCAGTAAACACAGCTATATCCGCCAAGGGTAAGTGGAGTGTATATATACAAAGCGAACACTTGGCTAGCGAAGATGTTGTGCTGGTGGTGATATAGACTTTGTAGACTTTAGTTCATTCAAATTCTTCCAAACCTGACTTGAAGTTTTGTTTTCTTCCAATAGCTTGCTTATAACAAAGACTCTTTTGCTTTTGATAATAAACATGTAACTTTGTTTCTCCATAGTTGATAATTTGTCCAGTCTTTAATTCTATGATAATTTGTCCAGTCTTTATTTCTATGATAATTTGTCCAGTCTTTATTTCTATGATAAGAATCTCTCAGATGCCGGGCTTCATTGATTTCTGTTGTTAACCAACCTGGTTTTAACTGCTGCTTAACAAGTTTTGTTTTTATGGGAGCATGCCTGTCTATAACTTTATTAAATAAGTGATACCATTTGTCAAGAGCTGTGTTAGGGTCAAGTTCGTACATTAAATCATTTTTAAGGTTCTCTTACAAGTTTATTTAGAAAGTGTTCCTCATTAAACTTCTTAAAATTCAGTAAACTCGAGAGTTGAAATGAAAATATAGATTGTGAAATATAGTGGACTGAAATTTTCAAAAAAGGATACAGTTAAAAGGAAAACAAATAAGAAGCTTCCAATGAATCCTCCAATTACTGTCATGTACTCGGTGGATGCCAGCTGCTGTTTGAACATCTGCATGCCTGCGAAGAGTCCTAGACCCAGTGTGAAGGACAACACACATGATACAGAGTTGGATACAGCTACATGGAAGGATACAAAACAAAACATTATTCCTATATTCAGAATTCATGACTTGTTTATTGGCCAATAAGACAAAGAACAATCAAGTTTGCACAATGTTATTTAAATAAGTGTCATCTGTAGAGTCTGGTATTATACCTTGATCGGTACTTTGCTTTTATGACAACTGACCTACTCTTATTACAGAAATGTATCCATCAGTCCCAGCAATATTCATAAATTAGAACGTTATAATCAAAATAACGTTGTGTGTCCTCATGAAGATGAATATGCTTTCTGACCATCATTTACGTTATAGCATACTTAAGAAGTTTTTAACTGACTATATATGTGTGTGTTAAAAGGCAAAATCAACGATAGGTTAGTGCATGTGGCGCTATGGTTTGGCCACTTGGGAAATGGGGGTGGGGGGGGGGGGGGGCACGTATAAACAGTTCTTTAATTATATCAATCTGGCAGTGTCAATCATGTTAGCTGTCAGTGCAAAGGGTTATATGATATATGTCACACCATAAACGTATATTAAAAAGGTTTCATTTTCACGGCAAAAGTTGGGGAGGGGGTTTGGGGGTAGAGCCTAGAGGGGGTTTCATCAATGATCAATGCAGGTGCGATGTCGACGTGTACATAAAGTTCGTTTCATCATTTCTCTACGACCCTCAAAATATCTCAGATATTAACATATAGCTACTGTACGCCAAATGCAACAAATGAGTTAATCATAAATTCACCAAAATTCTTATCTTACGCATTTTCGTTGTCTGTTAGGTTTGGTGAACCGGTTTTCTATTTTCTTGCCTGCGTGGAAACCGGAAGTTGTATAAAATTTCTAAATTTAGGTCCAGTCATATTGAGTGGCAATCGTTAAACGGATTCGAGTTCGTTTTTTAAAATGTCTGACCAGTACAACTGTATTTATATATTTGACACTGATTGAACATTTCTAAATACATAACTAAAATAAGGAAGGAAGGAAAGAAAAGTTTTTTTCAAAGCCGCTGAAAAATGACCCACAGTTTTAGGGCGGCTCGTGTCATTTTTACCGAAAGTCGATCTAAAGTTTACCCCTAAAACATGTAAAATTACTCTGAACACCTTGGTTTAGGTACACTACGAAAACACCATTTGTTCCCTTAGCGGCGTCGTAATAAAAGCTCTACAGACTGTATGAGAGCTTATGTTTGTTGTTGACAATTGTACACGACGTTAAATAAAGATTATTATTATTTATATCCTAATAAATAGCGTCGCACGGCGGGGAAATTTTGTTTTGGTCATTATTCTTACCTATAAATTGTCCATGTAACGATAATCAGCAGCCAATAAAGCTTACATACCGTTAAACTGTTTTTCTTTACATAATGCGACCTATGCTAGTTTAGGAATACAACTGTACACGAGAAAACCCCCCACACATTAATGAGAAATAGAAATGATCATAGAATCGCGCATTTTAGATTATCAACAACAATAGGCTCCTCCTTCTTACCGTCAACGCTTCGCTGTTACCCCCTCACGCTACCCTCGATCACGTACATACTCTATTATGAGGTCATGACACCAGCTTCATTGAATATCTTTAAAAAAATCCCTGAAACCCGACGATCATTTTTTTCCTCCTTCTTACTTTGGTAATGGGGACCGTAGGTTAAATGTTATTCACACGAAGCTTAGACTCACGAGAAATTGCTTATAATGTCCTCAGATGCGGACAGTTGGCTGTCACAGCGGCTGCGGCCCCCTGAACGACGTCCTTAGTGTATTCCTCGCTGTCCTCCTGCATGGGCGTAGCTTGTGTAGACACTTGAGCAATTTGCTGAAAAATGTGTTTTGTTTTTTAGTTTCACGACAACAGTTTTTAAGTTTGATAAAATCAATTGATAAATGTACCAGCACGTTTTATGATTACATAAACAGATAGCACGAAATTATATATGAATGAGCAGTAATGATTTAAATGTGAGAATTTTAGGATTTTTCTTATTAATTCCCACTGACAATATTTATGAAATTATTTTTAAGCAGAAAAATCACTTATTGTTATCAAAAAATATATCAAATAAATTTAAGCTGTTATTGGTGGGAGTGTGGTTCTTGGAAGAAAAGAAATACCGAAGCGTAAACGAAGTGTGAACTCAAAATCAATAAAACTATGGCAAATTTGAACAAAGACATGGAGACATTTGAAAAAAATGCAATGAACCTCGCACGAAAAAAATCCCTCTGAGTTCTTCGAAAAGAGAAGGCATGATAACGCCGACAGAGGATAGGGCTATGTGTGGACCGGGGAGGGGTTGGAGATGGTGGTGGGGCATGGGATGGTGGAGGGGCATGGGGTGGGGCATGGGATGGTGG